TTATGTGAGCCGCCCTGAGTCCCCTCAGGGAAAAGGGCGGCCTACAAATGTCAATAAAATCAAAAATCAAATCAAATCAGTGATATATAATTTTATGGTACTACTCCAAAATAAAGTGGTGTTGTTAGCCATCAAAGCTCAAATATACACTCCCCCCCTCCAAAAAAAAGGTTTCCACAATTTTGAGCACTACGGTGTGTGTTTTTGGTGAACGGGCTGTCTTTTGAGGCTGTATTTTTTTGCAGGGATAGGGGATTCAAACCCCTGACATGCTTCAAACCCCTCCAAAAATCGTCCTTAAACTTCAGGAAGGCCTTTAAAACTTTGCCCCAGCAGTCCAACTCATCTTTCTCCAGCAAAGGTGGGCTCTGTCCACAGGCAGATTTACTGCTGCTTAGTTTGCAAAACCTTAAAGGAAGTTAACCTTATTAGGTGTAAAAAAAAAAAAAAAGGAGATGTGTAACCAGATCTAGTTGCTTTTCCCCATCAAACCATGCCAGCATCTATTCTTGGAGACCCTCCTCTTTTGGCATCTTCCTGGAATTACATTAGCAGATTTGTTGGCGGGGGGTTGGAGGTTGGGGTGTGTTTGTGGAACAACCCAGTGTAAAGATGAGTCGCGGTTCGGCCATGAAATTCAACGCCACCCAAAAATGCTTCCCGAAATCTTAACTGCGATTTGATTCCCGCTTTGGAGAAGCCCATGAGGTCGCTAAAGGGTCTGACCTTTTGCAGTGGGGAAACCGAGGCCCTGGAGGATCAGGTAGCAAGCCAGGATTGCAAGCCGCGATGCCAAGGTTTCATTGTGGGCTCAGACAGGGTGCAACCATTCGGTTTGAATCAAGGCAAGGCATCCGTTTGGGTCAGCAAACCGATTCTTCCGTTTGTAAGAGTTGGAGAACAAATGGAGTAAGATTATCCATTTGTTGGTGAGTTTGGGGTTTTTATTTTCTCTGCAAAAGTCAGGCTGCTTTTGCACAGAATTGAAATGAAATCACCCGAATAGTTGTAAAACGAATGGTTTTTGGGAAAACTTACTAGCCCTTTGTCTGGAAATGAGCCTTCAATCTGGATGGATGGAGTTGTTGTGTCAGCGTTCCAAGTATCATGTAGAATTAAATCAGAGTCCAAGGCAAAACGATC